TATGAGCTCATAAGACAAGAAATTAAGTATTTCAAAAAATTAAGTATTTCTTAATAGATATAAGAGTGTCTTTTGATATAAAGGGTTAAAGAGAAAAATATGTAGTATTTGTTTATTGACTAGATGAAGGAAAAGAGGGAGTAAATTAGAATGATGCAAAACTCTCAGGTCTATAAATTGGATTTTCGAAGTCACATACATAAAGATTAAAACAAAGTAGAAGGGCTGGGGATATGGTCAAGCAGTATCGCGCTCGCGTGGCATGCGTGCGGCCCGGGTTCAATCCTCAGTGTCCGCCAATAACTAAAAGAAATAAATATTTAAAAATTCTCTCTCTCTCTCTCTCTCTCTCTCTCTCTCTCTCTCGCTCGCTCGCTCTCGCTCTCTCTCTCGCTCTCGCTCTCTCTCCTCTCTTTAAAAACAAAAAAGTAGAAGTAACCAAAGTCATTGTGTTTGAGTTTGATCGGTGGTAGTCAAAATTATATAAACCATGAGCCCACTTGGAAAAAGAAAATAATAGGATATTATTAAAAAGTAGTGAGCTAAGGATCAAACCTCAGGTGATATCAGAACTTAACAAATGAAGAGAAACGGGAAATTTGGAAAGCAGACCAGACCATTACACTGAGGGAGAAACAAAATCACTGGAAATTTCACTCTAGTGTAACTAGTTACCCAATTCTGACTTCCTGCTGTATACCTACAGGCTAAAATGCAATTGCTTTCACTTTGGATAAACTCTCGGTAATTAACACAGTGATTGGTTCAGAGTATATGCTAATATGCAATTATTCACAATTAAAACACTATTGTGTAGAAATTACATATACTTGAAATAATATGCTCAGAAAAAAATGGTAACTATGTTCAAACTCAGTTTTAACATGGATTCAGCTATGTCTGAAATCAAAGCTCACAGCATAAATGTCTCCTTTTTCTAATTAGCCTCTATTGCTCCCAGTCTAAGATTTCATGGATGGTGGATTCTGAGTGAAACTACAAGTACTTTTCTGATACTCTTTATTTAATCTGGGGTATAAGTTTTATAAATGTTTCTCCCTCAACCTACAGAGAGGACTCAGCATAAAGCAGTACTGTAGGCTAAGAGCTTGATCACTACAATTTATGTACCAAATTTGAAAATCATAAAATCAATTTTATTTGTTTGGCTATCTATCTATCTATCTATCTATCTATCTATCTATCTATCTATCTATTTACCTGTTTATTTATTTATTTATTGTGTGATGCTGAAAAATGAATGTTATGGGCAACAAAGACATATAGTTCTATAATATCTCAAGAAAAGTAAACCTCTCTTAAGAGACTGATCTGCTTTATAATTCAGAGTGTACACTTCAATTGTCTGAAACTATAGTTGTTTCCAAAACCTCACAGATTTAACTTCCAAAACTGGATTCTCTGAGGCATTCATGCCCTGGAAAATTAGACATCTTTTTTTAAAAATATTTACTTTTTAGGTGTAGACGGACACAACACAATGTCTCTTTATTTTTATGTGGTGCTGAGGATAGAACCCGGGTCCCTCCCTTGCTAAGCGAGCGCTCTACCACTGAGCCACAATCCCAGCCCAGACATCTTTTTTAGTTTGCAGAAAATATACAACAGGCCTAACATTCATCAGGTTATTTATGTGAACTTGATACTCCAACTCAACAATGTTTTCAAATTGAGTCTAAGTAAGGTCATTCTGATTATTCTTTTCCTTAATTGAAAAACTACTGTAGGTTGATTGTTATTCAATGCAGGTATGTCTAATAGAAGTAATACAACTTGAAATGGGAAATATTTTTTCCTTAAAAAAAAAAAATAGTGGGCCTCTGGAACACCCTATAATCCCAGCTATTCAAGAGTCTGAGGTAGGTTTGCATGTGCTGTGCGGGCCAGCCTAGACAACATATAAAGACTCTGTCTTAAATTAAATTAAATTACAAAGGTTTGGGGAAGCAGTTCAGTGGTGGAACTGTTATCTAACATGAATGAGGACTGGAATTCAGTCCGTAGCACTGGAAAAATAAATAAAAAATTTCCTTTACAGGAAAAGATCTTTCTTTATAGTGTTCTTTCATAAAAGTCTAAGTTTTATGGAGGCTGACTACAGACTGAATTGGAATATCATTTTCATATATTTACTCAGTGAACTTCAGCAAGTTGCTTAGCCTTTCTGATTCTTTTCACAACTTTTAAAGAAAATAATGATAAAAATGATTAATATGTTTAATCCTCAATGAGGATATGTGATAATGCAATCATGCTATGCAAGTAAATTGTGTCCTACTATGAGTCAGTTCTTCATTGTCATAACAAATGCCTGAGAAAATAAACTTATAAATATAGAAGCGTTATTTTGTTCGTGGTTTTGGATATTTCAGTCACATCAAGTGCCATGTTACTTTTTGTTCTGTGGGTGAGGAAGCAACTCATGGTGGAAGCACATGACATAACTGTTCACTTCTGGCCTGGAAGTAAAAAAGAGAAGAAGAAGAAGAAGGAGGAGGAACCATAACCCATTATCTGCTTCAAGGGTATACTGCCAGTGATCTGAAGACCAATATAGCCCACCCTGAAAGGACTCCACCACGTCTCAACTCCATCACTCTGGAAATCCAGCCTCTAGCACATGGGGACATTTAAGATATATACTATAGCATCTAGAAATATTAGTGTAATTTGCTAATATATTGTTTTCATTCAACTAAGTAGCTACGCATACCTATTATAGATGCAGATTAAACCATTACCTTCCATTCTGAGCAGGGTTCCTAGAAAACCCTAAGAAGAACAAATAAGAATTCACTCCCACTCCCTGTTGAGGTGAAAGCTATGCTTTAGAATGTAAGGTATTGTTGTGCACCCAAAGTGACTCCACTGCGAAGCATGTTGACTTTTACACACCTAGTTATATTGGCTTTCAGTTTGACTACTGCCTAATGGTCTGGTATCCAGTTTGCATATATTCCCATGAACATACTTAAATAGCATGGAGTGGGAAAGCAATATTTTTGTCCCATCTAATGTTTCAAATTCCAATTTCATCAAAAAAAAGGAACTTAAAAAAGAGTTACTATTTAAACTTGTATCATTTTAAAGATCTTGGACACAAAATGAGTATTCTTCTACAAGTAACATTTTAAAAAACAGTAAAAAGGAAAACTGCTCTTAAAATTGCCTTATAAGTGTCTTGATTCTAAATGAGAATTACATCCAGATCTCTTTAGACATTAATTTCCAGGGACTAACCAGTATTTGACCTTTGGGTTCTTCCATTCAGTTCAAGTTATATTAAACTGCAATTCCGGGCCAAGCCCTGGCTTAGGTGAAGGTCTTACACAGCAAATATTTAGGACAGCTAGAAATCTGTGTTTTCTTTTTAAAATCAACTTCAGTTAATGAGGTTTGGTTTCCTCATCTCTACAACAATTAGTAATATTAATTTATAATTCACTAGTGTGACTACTGTGAAGAACAAATAAACTAATCTGGGAGGAATTGTTTTGTGAATATTAATTCAATGCAGAATCCCACAAAATGAGCCATGCATTAGATTCCTGTGATGAGCATTTCAGTAGGTGAAGGTAGCTGTGTTTTTGAGATTGCTTATGCAAAACATCATTTCCTAGAAGCAATTTGCTATATCATTTGCCTGAATAACTTTTCAAATTACAGCAGAGTTTTCTAGTCTTGTGGAAAATTTAGAAAACAAGAAAAATGCAATCCTCCTTCCAATACTACCACTCCCAGTTAATTATTGTTATCTTTTGGAGTAATTTGTTTCCCTGCTGAGGTTCACCTGAAGAAAAGGACCCCTGCAGGGTCCTCTGCTCTCCAGCTGTGACCCCCTTCCAGCTGCTGGTGGAGTTCAGAGGCTGAAGTTAGAGGAAGATAAGGATTTTCAAAATATAGAAACAGTTGATGTCTCATCAAACACAAGCTCTCCTTATTGTCACCAGTTAAAAAGCTTGTTATGGTCTCATGGACTCAAGGTTCATTTCTGGGTGCTGTTTACTCTGATTATCCTTCCACATACACTAGGGGAATCACCATGCACTTCTCATCAGAACAGTGTTTTCAACTGTCTCCCCAGAGCACCATTCTCCCAAACACTGTTTAATCAGGTGAGGACTTTACCTGCCTCTCACTCTAAGCATCTTTCTAGGAAATCTAGACTTAATCTATCCTTGAGTATGAGAGTTCAATTACCCAGCATGGATTTTTCCTCACCTCCCTTTGTGACCCTCGGTTTACTCAAGACAAGCTGCAGTAAAGAGTAAACCCCTGACTCTAGCGCTCAGGGCTTTAGCTGGGTTATCCCCTTTTGGTCCCTACGCTACCTCCAGAGGCAGGAGCAAAACGCCCTTGGGCTCAATAGCCATGCACCCAGCAATCCCAGGCAGAGCTGGCTCCACAGGAAACACCCCGAGAACACTCCATCAACCAGCCTTTGTGAGGCTCTCTATCCTTGGTCTGTCTGGCCTGGGACAAGAGTTCCAAGCTGCAAGTTATAGACCTGAGGACTGAAGAATGAAGGGACCTAGAGGAGGCCAGAGAGGAGGCAGCCAAGGGAGGAGGCCCACAGCAGGGACCGCATGTAATTCACCCCAGAGCACCACTTGCTTCCATTCAGCACCAGGTGAGTCCAGGAGGGTATGTGACCTAAGGGTGACTACAAGATTGGTGGCACTTTGGGTCACCAAGGACAGGCATTTGTACTGTTTGCATGTCTCACATGAGATCCAGATCCCTTTTGGGGAACAGAGTCCATTTTTATGGGTTCCAGTTCTAGTGGGAAATGCCAGTGCTCCCCCAAATAAGGGACCACATCTTTCCCTTTCAGAATATGTGGCCTTTAACCTCTAGCCAGAAGATAGCAATCACCCAAGTAAAAGAGTCCTGATGACAGAATTCTCTCAGTCAGTGACCATCTCCCACACAAGTGCCCCCGTCTCCAGGGAGATTTTAGAATATGTGGAATCAGAGAAAGCAGATTGGCCTGAAGGATGCTGACTCCGCATAAGAACCCTGGGACTCCAGCCATGATCACTTTAAGGACTCTGGCAGGTGAGTGAGAGGAAGCATTTCCATTGCAATGTCTTCTGAGTTGGGGTCAGTAAGTGGCACACAGGCAACTGAAAGTTTCAAGATGATTCCAGAGTGGTGATCTAGAGGACTACAGTTAGAACAATTAAAATACTTGTTTTTCTTATTAGATGAGTTTTTCTTATTAATTTTTTGAGGATTAATTTATGTACAATGGAATTCTCAAATTTACAGTTATTTGTTATTTGACAAGTGAATGCACCTGTAAACATTAATCCAGTCAGGATTTGGAGCACTTTCATCTCCTCATAGACCAGTTAGCTCATAGACCTCCTTTTGAGCTCATATTCCTCTTCCAAAAGAAACATTCTACTCTTCATTGGACTCATTTTTCTCTGCTCTAGAAATTCCTATAGTCGGGGCTGGGGATGTGGCTCAAGTGGTAGTGCGCTCGCCTGGCATGCGTGCGGCCCAGGTTCGATCCTCAGCACCACATACAAACAAAGATGTTGTGTCCCCTGAAAACTAAAAAATAAATATTAAAAAATTCTCTCTCTCAAAAAAAAATTAAAAAAAAGAAATTCCTATAGTGATTCATAAAATGTGTTTTCTTATATCTGACATCTTTAAAATGTTTTTATAATTGGATAGTTTAAATCCATAATTTCTTCTGTTGTTGTACTTATATGTGCACATTGTACTTATTACATTAACTATTGTACATCAACTTATTGTTAATTATGTATATTTGGTTGTATCTAGGCATCACCTATTACAATTAATTTGATATGAATATTTTTACAAGTTTGTGAATTCAGGTTTTCAATTCCCTTCTAGAAATATGTCAGAATATAATTCCTAGATTGTAGGGTAGGTATACATGTAAATTTATTAGAAGCTAAACAAAATATTCCCAATAATTGAACCATTTTATATGTCAGTCCACATCCTCTGAGATTCAGGATCTTCCTAAAAATTCTGTTCAATGGAAGATGGAATCTTCACATTGTAGCTTTGCTTCACTGCCCTGATGAATAATCATGTTAAACAGCTATCAGATGTTTAGAAACATGCCTACATTTTCCTTTTGAAATGCACGTTCAAGTTTTTTTCCAGTGTTGCTGAATTATTTTCTTTTTATTATTTAATAATGAGTGTTGTTTATATACTCTGGATACAGATCATCTATCAGATGTAATATTTTTAACATATCTTCTATCTCTTAATAATGACTTTTGAGGAGAAGGTTTTAATCATGATTAAATTCAACATGTCATTTTTCATTTGTTATGGTTAATGTTTTTTCTTTTACTCAAAAAAAAAAAATGGTCCAAAGATATTCTTCTGCTTTCTTCTGGAAGTTTTAGAGATTTAGCCCTCCTTTTGGATATATGATCCATCTCAAATTAATTTCTGGGGTACATATTTACATCTTACTCATGTGGAAATCAAGTTGTTTCATCAATGTTTGCTGAAGAAAACTATCATTACCCCATTGATTAACCATTAAGATCTTTATTTATAATTTATTTGGAACCAGGGATTAAATCCAATGATCCCTAATCACTAACCACATTCCCAGCCTTTTTTTACTTTTTATTTTGATACAGGGTCTTGCTAAGTTGCTCAGGGCCTCACCAAGTTGCTGAAGCTGGATTTGAATTTGCAATCCTCCTGCCTCCTCCTCCCTAGCCACTGAGATTATAGGCATTCAGCACTGAACCCAGATGACTCTTATAAGTAGAAGTGTATTTTTTTTAATCTTTTGTCTATGGAAGTTCTATAAAGTGTCTTATTTAATACAATTTTAAAATAAATCTTGTGATCAGAATATGTGTCCCTCTGTGTGTTCTTCCTATGTAAGGTCATTTTGGCTAGTCCAGGTGTGTATATTATTTTAAAGAGTACTCTAGTGGAAGGTGCCAGTACTCGGAAGGTGCTGTGCACTTTGACACTCTCAATGTAAGTGAGAAAGTCTACATTCACATTTCTATTACAATTTGTTTTCTCTTCTTTCATTGATTTCATTATTGATTGACAACCTCTAAAACACAGCAAAGTTTAGAAAATTAAGAAAGAACTAAAATTGTTAATTAAAATACAATTATGGAACAAAATTTAAGAACATTTGTATGCTAGAAAGAGACTACATGAGTCTGGGAGGACCTTAACCCCCATAAAATGCTCCCTGTTTCTCCTGCATTTATGCTGTGTAACACTTCGTGAGTATAGAATATCTTTTCTTATGTGATTATCCCTTTCAATATTATAAAGTCTACTACTGAACTTAAAAAGGTCTCAAGTCAAGAAAAATATGAAAGATGAAACAAAGCAAGACCATATATTAAAGGTGAAGATTGTAAGCACTGGGAAAAGGTGAGGCTTAGGAAGAGGTGATGGGAATGTGATGAAGTATTAGAGAAATAAATGCTAACATCATGTGTCATCTCTTGCGATTTTTTTTAATCACCAGCTTTGCCTTTGTTGTTGTTTAAAAACATGTAACTTAAAAATCTACATACATATGTGCACATCTGAATATAGAGATGTATGTATTTTTCCTAAATACATGTAATTCAGAATACATAATTATGAAAATATAATTCTAAAATTTCATATTCCTGAGAAAATTTTTAATAAAACTCAGATTTTGATCAAGTGTTCAGGCAAATGACTGTAATCCCAGCAATTTCGGAGGCTGAGGCTGGAGGATCCCAGTTTGAGGACAGACTAGGCAATTTAAGGAGAACCTGTCTCAAAATAGAAAATGTTCTTGGGATGCATCTCAGTAGTAGAATATTCGTGGGTCCCATTTCCATATCACAACGTGAATCAAAATAAAATAAAACACTGATTCATACAGTATATTCTCAAGCAGATGATATCTGCATTCAGTAATTCAACTATATATAATAATGCTTAAATTGATGAATAAAATATAAAATTTCTATGCAATTGATAATTTTAGTTCACATTGAGACCATTTCAATTGATTACTTATATAATCTGTAATGAATTACAGAGAGACAGAAGAAAGATGCAGAGAAAAATGGGTGCTTGGCTAAGCTGTTGTCTTTATTTATATCATTAGGATACATTAGTTCAGTGGCACCATTAGTACATTATTGTTATATCATTAAGTAGGGTACATTGGGTTATAGTGTGAGATGTTCTTGCTTATTATTGGATATGTGCATCAACCAGTTTGTATTAGTTGTCTTAATAATTTTGGGAAAAATCAGTCTTGCTTTGTTTCATCTTTCATATTTTTCTTGACTTGAGACCCTTTTAAGTTCAGTAGTAGACTTTTATAATATTGAAAGGGATAATCACATAAGAAAAGATAATCTATACTTATGAAGTTTTACATAGTATAAATGCAGGAGAAACAGGGAGCCCTTTATGGAGGTTAAAGTCCTCCCAGACTCACAGAGTCTCTTTCTAGCATACAAATGTTCTTAAATTTTGTCCCATAATTTTATTTTAATTAAATATTTAGTTTTTTTTTAATCCCAAACCACAGTTCCATCTGCAGAAAACAAGATGCCTATTATTCTCCAGGAGTTTGTGCACCAGAGAAACTTTCTGTATTATACTTTTCCTCAGTCAGAATCCTTACAATATTCCTTATAGTAAAAAATAGAAAATTGAGGTTAGTTTATTAATTCATTTGAATTAACTGCCATTGATCATTTTGGATTGTCAATACAAAACTGAAACTGTATTCAGGAAAAATTAGCTCTTCAGGTGGTGGCACCAAGCATCTATATATTCCTGAAAATCAGAGGAGACAATCTAGAATAGTGGTTTCCACTGTTAGTGAATTCAGTTTTACCTCAAAATCTTTAAAAGTAAGCACACTTGCCCAGCTATTAATTTTGACTTACTAAATATAAATTTAACTTACAGAGCTCATTAATATGTATTTCTAATAATTATCTTCACTTTATGGCTATTATGTTAATTCAGTTTTGGAAACCAGTAGTTTGTAGATCATTGATTTCAACATGCATATTTCTGTTTCATAAACTATTCACAGGTACGTATAAAAAAAAATGTGAGCTGCCACAGGACAAATGCCAGATAATAAAGTTTGGGCTCCATGTGTCATAGTGTGTGGTATAACTGCAAAGAGGGAGGCATAGCACCCTGTCAAAGTGACGTGAAGGAGCAAACATATTTACTGGAATGTGAAAGAATATTCATAATTATGTGAGTCAATAAAATATGGAAAGCAAACAATTCTATACAAACACAAAGATAGATGTATTCCTTGTGAAATATTTTAGACACTGGGATCAACATTGTACTATAACTAGTTGTGTCTAACTTGTTTGATGTGCACTTTTTATTTTTTATCTCTTTAGGCAGAGAGATGGTCCTGTGAGAAAAGAAGAACTTAAAAGCTTGGATCTCTCAACAATTCGACAAGCCTGGAGAATGAGATGGTTGAGTCAGAGTAGCATGCAATCCTCATGGTTTTATTCCTCCTCATCCATAATATGTTTATCAAAATAATATGTTTTGTTTAATATAATTTCATAAGATGTTTAACAAAAAAATGTTTATCTGTCAGTATGATGCTTGTGAATATGTTACCTCACAATGACAAAAAGACTTTATCAGTGTATTAATTTTGATAATCACCCATCTTTTTGGAAAACAGATTTTCCTAGCCTATTCAAAGCTGCCAAAGAACTGCAGCAAATCAAAACAATGCAAAAGAAGAGAAATGAACAAAGAAATTCTTCAAAAGGGTAAAGCTCAGAAGAAGAATCAGAAAGATGAGTACTACCTTATCTGCTGGAGGTGCATTTGGAAGGTGGGCCTAGGGATGCAGTCTCTAGAAGTTCTACTGGCTGACAGGCAGCAAAAAAAATGGGGACCTCAGTCCTACAACCACATGGTAGTGAGTAATGGAACAGTTTGAAATAAGCGTGGAAACAAATGATCCCCAAGAATTTCCAGAAGAAACGCATCCCGGTTGACCTTGATTTTAGCTGAAGGTAACCCAGAGAGAACCAAATTGACCGTACTGTGCCTGGACTTCTGATCTACAAAACTGTAAAATGATAAATTAGTGTCACTTCAAGCTCTTCAATGTGTGGTAATTTGCTACATAAACAGTAATATTAACACAGACTTCATAAATTACTCTTTTGAATTTGAACATTTCTAATGTTAAAGAAATGTAATACCAGAGGGTCAACAAGCAAACTACAACCCTGTGGGGGGCAGGTCAGGGTGGAAACTGACCCTCAGCCTGTTTATATACAGCATGAGAGCAAAGAATAATTTCACATTGTTAAACGGCTACCAAAATTACTTAAAAAAAAAAAAGAATGTTTTGTGAAACAGAGAAGTCAAATTTAACTATAAATATTTAATGGAGAACACTCACCTCCATTTATATGTAGTTTTTGACTGAATTATTATTGTTATTTTTCTTGTCTAATGAAAGAGTTCAATAGTTGTGATAGAGACCATATGGCTTGCAAAGACTATAAGTTTCTCCAGGGAAACATTATCAAGGATACCCACATTCTTTCCTAGGAATGCCTGGAAATTCATGTAAGACAGAATGCAGATCCATCTGTATCTGCAGCCTTTAGAGGGGCCACATCTCACAGTGTAGCCCAGACCTAGTACTGAAGACGTTAAATCCTTAGTTGAATTCTTTTTAACACTTTGTTTGAAAACAACAATGTTTATCTCAGGTAAGAAATGACTGGGTCATGGTTCTTCTTTTAGGTCCTGTTATTTCCCAGATTTTGTTAGATAGTTGCACTCTGACTTCAGGTATTGGTCGGGTTCAGGAAAACCATTCATTTGATGTTCTGAAGTACAGAAGTGGTGCTCTTTCCAGTTCTCTACATCTCCAAACTGAAAACAGATAGATCTTTTAATTTACACACATTATCAAAGGACATTTTTAGTTAAACCAAAGCTTAGTAAATAACAAAGCCTTGAGAAGTATTTGTTATTCATATTAATCTTAAAAACTCATAATTATTTCCATTAATTGGCCACAGTGTGATATTTGGAAATGTATATATAAACAGTGAAATTTCTTCAGCCTGAAAAGAAAAGGAACCTCTGACATTTGTGATAATATAGATGAACCTGGAAAACATTATGCTAAGTGAAATAAGCTAGGCACAGAAAGACAAATAAATTGAGATATATTTGTAATATGTCTTCAAACTCTAAATAATGATGATAATAATATTAATCACAATTTTTGAGTTTATAATTAATACACTTAGAAAAGAAGTAGATCACAGCTTCAAAATATAATCCCTAAATTCTAGAATATTTAATTCTGCCGAATATGGATGGGAGGATTTTGAGGATTTCCTTTGTATTATCAGAGGGTGAACTTAGCTGATATATAGCCGTCAAAAGTCAAAGAAATTATAACCAAGGCTTAAATCTCTCCGAACAATTATCTGTTTTTTTTAAACTCAGTAGGGAAAAAAAATAATGTTTGGAAATGGTGCTAGTATCACATACAAGGGGAGGCCAGGTGAAAATGAATCACTGTGAACTACTCCCTACCAAACATTTGAGTGAAAATTGTGTGTTTCTGCTCCAGAGAAGCATATAACTATGAGCTTTCAAAGATATTGAACTCAGAAAAGAATCTTGGTGTATTGATAAATTTACACATTCTGGATAACCAGTCACTGAATATTAATGTTATCATATGAAAATGATGAGGGCTAGGTAGTCTATTCCTCACATTTTATTTCCTATTAGTCTTGTCAATCACTTCTTTTTTGGAGAGGAGATGTGATGAAGCATGGGTTTCCTCAGTTAATGAGAGCTCCATCACAATGGCTTTGAGAAGTGAAAATATTTCAGAGAGAATTATAACGGACTTATCTGCTAGAAAAATGATACAGCTGCTCAAGAGATAAGTGAACCCCTCATAATTTTGATATGAATCACACTTGCTTTGGTTTGGCTTTTATATTTTCACATACTGGACACTTGGTATTTGTTAATGTGCCCTGAGGAGAAAGAGGTGAGCAGAGAGGACAGAGTTCATACTAATTAAACTCATAAAAATGCACACTATAACTAGAAGAAAGTTTAATCATAGATAATGAGAAGTGCAAATTTAGGATGAGCTGGTCATTGTATTACCTCCTAGTAGGAAAATCATCATCATTGCCTGTTATAACCTAAAGATAATAATAATACCAATTATCATCACCATCATTCCCTGTATTTTATTGAAACCATTATGAGGTATATAAAAGCTGTTATATGCAATTCACAAGTGTTATTTTAATTTTATTCTCCAAATAATGTATAAGGTAAGTTCTATTATCTTGAAAAAGAGGAAACTAATGCTTGAGAATGAAGAATTTTTAGGAAATAAAAGAACGGATGGGCATACATCTAGAAGTCAGAGTTCTTAACAAATTTCCAGGATGAATGTTAAATGAAATAAAAGAGGGAAATATCAGAAATTGATTTTTTTGTGGGGATGCATATTAATATTTAATGATCTGTTCTCATGTGGAAAATATGTACATAGTTCTTGGACATTTTTATCACCTTCCTGATATGGTAGCAAGAAGATGCTATTTGTAGAGTGCATTTAAATATGTATCCCAAACAATTTTGTTTATGAAATGAATTGAAAATACAAGTTAATATGTTATTTCTTATTAACTGTATGTTGTCAAAGTCCTTTACAAACCAACCCTGTGATGTTGGTTAATTCTTAGTTTAAAGTCCTTTGGCTCGGGCTGCCATAAAATAGGGAAGATGAGGATGCCAGAATTGTAGGTGAGAAGGTAGAACTTTTGAAAATCAGGAGTGTTAATGCCCTTGATATTCATCAATTTCTAAATACTTTTAATGATTGAATTAAAAGTATTAAATAACAATTAAATAACAATTCAATTTCCTCTAATAGCTTAAGGAAAGAAACTTTAATATGGAAACATAATTAAACTTGGCAAAACGAGATGCATGAAAATAATCCAGATTAAGAATTTTGAAAGTTCGTATAGAAACTAAGGACTAAAACTTGGTTATAAATTTGTTGACCTACCAAACATTGTTTAGATTAATTAGTGCTCAACACTGCATGTTTCAGAGGGATATATTAATTTTTTATAGCTGCTACTCACATTTAAATTAATGAAGAGAAACTATATTTGGAATTATTCTGTGTGGAACTCTGAAACTGACCTCCAAGAGAGAGCAGCTCTTTACATGTTGAGGAAATGTTGACTGTCGTCCTCTGTTCATGTTTCCCTCTGGGATATGCCATATCCATTGAAGACCACAAAAGCTAGGACTAACAGAGTTCCTTATCATGGCTGAAAACATCACTCTCTACAAAAGATCATTAGAAACAATTGCAGTTTTAATGTCCGTTTCACCCTTGAATACTAGTGTATTCCTCCACTAACTGTAATGTAAAATACATAAAAGAGGGAAATAAAAGAAGTGAATTAAAATCCTCAAAGAAACTTTGACACGGTAGTCACTCAGCAATAACTAGACAAGATTTTTCTAGACACATAAATGATAGGAATATTATCCAAGATTATTTTCAACAAGAAAATAAAATAGTGTTTATAAATTTTACTAGAAGTCAAAGGCATTTAAGAAAATGCATGGGAGGAAACCATACAACAATTTCAACATCCTGTTGTCTTCACAGCAAGTGCATCATCTTCCTGATATGTGTTCTTAGATTTATAACAAATTTTTGGTTTATTTAAATTTTGTCAAAACTGAAAATTATAACACAGGTATTTGGATGAGTTTGTGAGCTTATTTCCAAAACCTAGCATTTTACCAGGCTTTGTTCTGGTATTATTGAATGTTTTTGTTTTCCTGGAAGAAGAAAATTCTGATACATTGATTGAATTGTATCACATGAATATAATAATATAATTTGGGGATGTTTTACATATATAAGGACATGTTGGATACATTAACTCAATGGAGCTAGGGAAAATGTCTAAGTCTTTGTTTTTTAATAGTCTATGCAATGCCTTAATAGGCTGGCACCTTTGTTGACTATATATATGTGATTGAATAAATATGTCTCATCTTCCATATTCCCAAGTGACCTCTAAACCATGTACCAACATAGCAGGTGATTTTTCATGGATTTTATATCACAAAGAGGGGGAAAGTGGGAGCTATGTACATAGAGCTCCATAACCTTCAGACAGAAGCTTTCTAGCCTTTTCCTATTGATTTTATAGACTTGATACCCATCATAGTAATGCTAATAATGTTTAAGCAACATTTAGAAATAGTCAAGCTGTCTCACATTTGTGATTTAGAAGAGTAAATGAAGACACTTAAAATATGGCCTCTTCTCTCTCTCAATAGTCTTAATCATTTTATATTGCTACAACAGAATACCTGAGACTCTATACTATATAAGGTAAATAAGTTCATTTAGCTCAAAGTCTTAAAGTCTTAAAGTTCAAGATCGGTGGCTTCATTGATTTTGTCCCTGGCAAGGACTTCTGGCTATATCACAAGATGGCAATTGTCATCATGTCAGAGGTACATGAGAAAGAGAGAATGAGAGGTGTCCTATGGTGAATGGGTAAAAAAAAAAGAAGAGGTTGAGGAAAGGCTAGGTTTTGCTACTTTATAACAGTTCACTTTCATAGTAATGGACCTATTCCTATCAGGCCTGATCCACTCCAGTTAGCCAGCATTAATCATGGGGTTGCTCACACCATGACTTAATTACTTTCCACTAGGACTCAGAATGACAAAAAGGAAACACAAAGATTCACTTTAATGACATCCTCCATTACTTTCTCTCTCTGTCTGTCTCTCTCACACGTATGTGCATACACACAAACACACACACACACACACACACACACACACACACATACACAGTGACACAGTGACATTATTTTAAAAGGATCTTTACCCCACCTCCTTGAACTCATGTGTAACCCTTTAATAGCAATGCTATCATATTTTTTCTTTTTTTCTTTTAAAATTTTCTATGACAGTTTTTCATGTTAAATTTTCCTTGGTCCAAATTTCTATCAGCATCTTATGGATGGTGAGACTCCCTCCAGCATGTACTTACTTACGTGTGACCTGATAAATTCTATTTAGCTAAAGGAATGTTACTTTCAAAATTTTACTTTCTTATGGACTAAACTTTACAGTGACCTATTATTGAAAAATCAGGATATTAGAAAATAGGTCTTTCTTTTAAAAATAACATATTGTATAGAGAATATAAAATTACATTTACACACTCAATTGGTTAACTTAGAAAATATTAAAAAGAGAAAATCTTTTGCAAGATCACCATTCAGAAACTCAATTAGTAATTTTTTAAAAAAATATTATTTAAAAAAATTTTATTATTAAAATAATATCATTTTTAGTAACTTTTAACAATGTTTTAAAATAAATGGATATATGTATTCACTGCCACGGTTATTTAAAGCTGCAATATAATCAGATTCTGAAAGTAAGTACAAAAGGAGAGGATTGCTGGGAGTAGTAGCACATGCTTGTTATCCCAGCAACTGGAGAAACTGAGGCAGAAGGATCCCTTGTTGAGGCCAGTCTCACCAAATTAGGGAGATCCTCAGCAACTTAGCAAGTCCCTCAGGAACAGTAACACCCTGTATCAAAATGCAAAGTAAAAAAAAAACTGGCAGTGTAGCTCAGTGTTAAAATGCTCCTGAGTTCAATCCTCAGTATCCGAGTAAATTAATTAAAAAGGAAAGATTTGATTATGAAATTCATAATTTATATTTAACAGTCTTTCACTGATAGTGGTACTGAGTATTAGTTTAGTACAATTAGATTAACAATTTAGTTGCAAATAAAGATCTTTTTTTTTTTTTTTTTTTTACCAGTAATCCCAAGTAAATGAGACTTAGAGAAAACAACATTATCTTAATTGAGGCTTTACTAACTTTCTCTGAGTAGATTTTGAATGAAATTTGTTTTTAGTATATAATTGTTCCATAACTTCATAATATACTAACACAGAGACTTTCTTAAAATATTCTTAATTGTGGAATTTTAGAACAGTGGGGATAAAGACTTAGATAAGTGTGAAATGGTAGCTATAAATGTTTTTAAAACCTTTCTGAATTTATGTATTCCTACTGTGGGAAACTTACTCAAAAAATCCCTCAATCACATGAGTCATAAAGACAGCAAAGAGCTGAATTGATATTCTTTCTCACTTACTTCATGAATCAGTCAGAAATTAATTTACCCAAAATGAGAATGTTTGAAAATTCTAATATGTGATAAGAGTCTGCTTCTCAAATTAATTATCGTGAACATTGGAAGTGCTTGAAGAATATAGCTGCCTAGTTCCATAATATTCTTCCGACTGATAAAAACATTCAATGCATTTTATAAAAAATGCATTAATATAATTTAAAACATAGTTTTAAATGTCAGAACATTGCAATTCAAGTCACAAATGCTGGTGTCTTCTGTAGTCACTTAAGGTAATAAGATGTGACTGATATAATCAGAAATGGTTTGATTTTAAGAATGAAGCATTCTTTTGATAATTTAAAGTTTGGTGAAATATGCTGACAGCAAGTACTCCTGTTATAGATAATGGTTTTTTAGAAATAGACTTCTTTATAGATTTACGATTAAAAAGTTAGTAACCTAAAAGTTTGTCTTGGTGGAAAAATTATTGTTTTTCTTCCCAATTCCAAGTTTGGAACATAAAAGAGAGCCTAGAAATGAACCTGAGCAAATACAGTTGATTGATTTTCAACAAAGATACCAAAAATACACAGTGTTGGACAAGAACACCTCTTTTTTTTTTTTTTTATTGTTGGTCGTTCAAAACATTACACAGTTCTTAATACATCATCTTTCACAGTTTGAAGAACACCTCTTATAAATGATGTGGGGAAAAAATAAATGTCTCTAAGTAGAAGATTGAAACCCTGATCTTTCAACAAGCTCCCAAATCAACTAAAAATGGATTAAATACCCAAACATAAAATTTAACACTGTAAAACTACTAAAAGAAAACAGAGGAAAACTACATAGTATTTGACTTGGCAATGAGTTTTGGGGTTTCATACCAAAAGCTCAGACAACAAAAGCAAACATAGACAAATTTAATTACATAAAAATTAAAAGTTTCTGCCAAAACTGCTAGTACGTGCTTGTGAGATTGCAAGTTCAAGGCCAGCCTGGGCAACTAAGCAAGACGCTATCTCAAAAAATAAAAGGGTCTGGGGATGTAGCTCAGTGGATGCGTGTCCTAAGTTAAATTCTCAGTACTGAAAAATGATAAAAAATAGATAAATAAAAATAAAAATCTTCCACACAGAAAAGTAAACAGCAGCATGAAAAGAGAATCTATATCTTGGGAAAAAATATTTTCAAGGCATACAAGTGGTAAGTAGATAATACCCAAAACACAAGAATCTCCAACAACTATACAAAAAGAAAACAACTAAATCAATACTAAAATAGGTAAGGCACCAGTATTGACATTTCTTAAGTGAAGACATACAAATGGCCAACTGTAAGCTAAATAGTGTTTAACATCACTAATCATGAGACAAAGGCAAATTAAAGTTGCAATGAGAAACCACCTCGCATCTGTCATTATGAATATTATCAAAACAGAAACAAGATGAACAGTGTCTGTTGGGATGTAAAGAAAAGAGAATCTTTGTAGACAGGAGAAGAGAAAATCAGTACAGGTGGAGATCCCTCTGAAAGCTACAAATAAAATTAGCAAATAATCCAGCAATTTTACTTCTGGTTGTTGACCCTCAAGACATGAGACAGTATGCTGAAGATTTGTTTGCACTCCCACATGCATTATATTCTAATTCATAATAGCCGAGTTATAGAAC